GGCGTGGCTCAGTGGACTGAGTGCTGGCCTGTGAACCAAAAGGTTACTGGTTTGATTCCCAGTCAAAGCACATGCCTGGGTTGCTGGCCAGGACCCCAGTAAGGGGTGCATGAGAGGCAACCACACATTGATATTTCTCTCTCTTCCTCCCTTCCCCTCTGTCTAAAAATAAATAAATAAAATCTTAAAAAAAATAAAATCAACACAGCAAAAACTCAGAAGAAACAGAACGTTCCCCCTCCATCCATGTAATCTTTGGATCGCACCCATCCCACCGCAGTGGCTGACCTCCTCCAACTCTAAGAGGCTCGCTGAGAATTGGTTTTGCTTTAGATTTTACACACACAGCCCTTTTCCAAGAACCCATGGCTTCTTAAATCCCCCGCAGCGGTGAATAATTTGCATAGCTCTACAGGATTTTGGCCACGGGAGAGTTTTGAGGGAGCCAACACAAAAGCTGGCCTCCTGAATGCCTTCCAGCCATCAGATGAGAGGCACAGATGAGACCAGCCGGCTGGATCCGGCGTGAAAAACTGTCACCCAGGGAAGACACGCGTTACGGTGATGAACTGAAAAATCGGGACACGGCATAGCACAGTGAGCAAACAAACAAACCAAACGCTTAAATAAAACCCCACAAATCAACAGTGGCCATCAGCATATTGCAATGGTCTCCTCCCAAGTTTTCTACAATGAACAGGAACTTTTTTTGTAATCTGGGGACTCAATCAACTCTAAAGCCTGTCCGTCAGAGGCACATCTTGAAGTGGGGTTAGAGAGAGGCACGTGCGTTTGATCGCGAGCTGACTCCCTGGCGTTAATGCCAGCCTGAACAGCCAGAAACTGAAGATGCCAAGATATAAGGTCTTCCATGTGCACCCCTCGTCTTCCACGGGCCCCTCAGCATTTACTCCTTCCCGACACGTGCTGTGGCCACCTCCAAAGCCCCTGGCGGTGTGGAGCGCAGGGGGAGAAAGGGGCTATTGGAGGGGGCAACACTTTGGGTTTCTTTCTTTTTCCAAGAATCATCCCCAAAATCCTTCAAGACAGATTTGGGGAGCTTGGGGTCTGATCCTGGCTTGGATCTCAGGCAAGCTCTGGGCCTCGGTTTTCCCATTTTTATTTTTTTTTAAATCATGGAATTTTTATTTGTTTATTTATTTATCTTTAGAGGGGAAGGGAAGAAGAGAGGGAGGGAAACATCACTGTATGGTTGCCTTTTGTGCGTCCCCTGCTGGGAACTGGCCTGCAGGGAACCAGCCTGCAACCCTAGAATGTGCCCTGACTGGGAATCGAACCACAATTGTCTGGTTCAAAGGCCGCGCTCAATCCACTGAGCTACACCAGCCAGGGCTGGTTTCCCCATTTTTAAAATAAGCAGATTGAACTTCCTGATGGCGAAGGCCCTTTCTGGCTCCACCTGCTAAGAGCTAAAGGGACCAGCAATCAGGTTGAAGAGCTGCTAATTCAGACCAATCTAGGGCAAGAGAGAATGAGGAGACTCTGGCTGCTCAGACCAAGTAAACAACACTGGGCAGGAGGCAGGGCCAACCCAGCAGCAGTTGGCACAGGGAAGGGCGGGGAGTGGGGAGTCAGCCCGAGGCCTCTGCTGAGACCCTCGGAGAGCCGCATCGAGCTTGTAGTTGGGGCCATCCCAGGAGAGGCAGGGCAGTCTGGCCTGAAGCAGGCAGCACCAAACAAGTGACCTGTTTCTTTGGGGGAGCCAGAACGCCCAGGAGAAGCAACCAGTGTGCCGAGGCTCAACTGGGGAGAAGGGAGGAGGAAAACACTGCCAGGTGAAGCCAGGCCGCCTGTCCAGGCTGGGGAGGAGAAGGACTGAGATGTTGAGAACCTCCGAACTGAACGGGGGCCTAAACAAGTCCCTGACCCAAATGCAGCCAAGCCTCCTGGGAGAATGCAAAGGACCCTAGGGGGGTCTGGAAGGCTGGGTGCCGGGCCTGCCTGGTACTGCATGTCTGGCTGGACCATGCGCAGTCCACTGCCTCGCCAAGGGAGACATAGCATGAAGAAGTACACTCTTACAGCTGTCCATGGCAAGGGCTCCTCCAAGCTTCCCAGCAGACACAATGAAAGTGAAAGCAAAAGCCAGTATCCAAAGCAGACCCTTCACCATGCCCCCCATCAGAAGGCAGCTGAGCTTCTGGAACATTCTGGGCACATAGGGAGAAAACTCTTCTCAGTCCCTCGAATTCCACCTTCAGTTGGAGCCAGGGGAAGAGAAGCCCAGAGCCAAAGCCCCTCACACTCTGGTCTCTTATGGCCCAAAAGGGTTGAGGGTTTATGGTCAGCCCCACAGAGGGAGGAAGGAACACTTGCCAGAACCAGGCCCTAGTAAGACAGAAACCCCCCACGGAGCAGGCTGCCCAGAGCCAATGTCAGCAGCAGACGGGCCGCTGGCTCTGCCTCCAGCTCTGCCTGTCCTCACACGAACAGGGGAACTCCTGGATCCTGGGACTTCTGCCACCAGAGAGCCGGAAGGCCACAGCTGGAGGGGCTGTGGCCCTGCCAGGGTGCCAGATGCTCGCCGCCTCTCCCGGGTGGAAGACAGGCTGGCAGTCTGGGCCTCGCACACAGTGCACAGTGGTCTACCCTTGACCAGCGGTCACGTGGTAAGACTGCATGTTAATCTCTGCCTCCCGTGGTGCTTCCGGCCCCTGCCCCTTTGTCATCCCCACTGCCTCCAACCTGCAGGGCAGCCTGCTCTCTCCCAGAAGCCTTCTCCAAACTTCCATCCAACGTGCGGCCAGAATTATCTTCCTGACGTATCAACAGGACCAAATGACTCCCCTGCTTAAAGAGCTGGAATGGAATGTGTGTCTTCCTTGATCCGTGCACACTGGGCCCTGAGAACATGGCTTGGGGCACAGAAGGCACTCAGCTGGCGTGTGTTGAAATGGTTCCAAGATATCTACACGATGAAGTCTCACCTGCAGTGACCTGGCCTCGCCTACCCAGCCCAGCTCACTCGAGACCCTCCTCTCCCTTTACTTCCCCATCCATCGCTACCTGAGTACCCCTGCCCAGCACACCCCATGACCTTCGTACCTCTGTGCCTCCAGCTCATGCTGTTCCATCTGCTCAGACACCCTTCCCCCTGTTGCCCTGAGTGACTCCAACTCGCTGTGGAGTAGTCTAACATCCTCTCTCAGCAGGAATTTTTAAAAAATATTTTATTTACTCTTAGAGAGAAGGTAAGGAAGGCAGAAAGAGAAGGAGAGAAGCATTGATGTGAGGGTGAAACATCAATCAGTTGCCCCCCATGCGCTTCCAACCAGGGACCTGGCCTGCAACTCAGGTGTGTGCCCCAACTGGGAATCAAACCGGGGACCTTACAGTTTGTAGGAAGACGCCCAACCCACCGAGCCACGCCAGTCAGAGCCTTAGCAGGTCTTGTCATGCTTCAGTCTAGGTTATTTTCTTTCTTCTGTTATCCTGTAAGCCCTGTAACATAACTTCCCAGAGTCCTTGCCAGGTGCTAGGTATGAACATCCTATTCCCATTTTACAGATGAAGAAACTGAGACACAGAGAGGCAAAGTGACTGCCCACCGTGGGTCATAGAGAAACTCCTGGGCGTGGTGGGGCCTGACTCTGTCACCACCTCGCTGGGACACTCGTCATTTACTACTCACTAGGCTGGGAACTCTCTGAGGCCCACTGGCCCTGTGTCCCTGGGGCGGGGTTGGCCCTGCCAGACGTGGGGAGGTTGTAAATCACGGAGCCATGGTCAGCTCAGGAGTCGTGAGGAACAGAGAGGCACTGCCAGCCTCCTCCCTTCTCTGTCTTCTGCCTTTTCTCCCAAACTGAGTGCGCTTCTGGCAAGCTGTAGAGAGGTATCTGGGGGCAAAGGGGCTCCCTCCCAATTCCATTTGGCCCTATCAACGTAGGTCGAAATCCTATGTGACAAGTCTCCAAAGGGTCAAAGTAGTTCACAGGTCCCAGAGCCGACCTCTCACTAAGGCAGCTTTGGAAAAGCAAAGGCCAGGGCCACCCTAGAGGGCAATCACCCCCCTGCAGCCTGCCCGCCGGCTGGGCTCCGGCCCCGCCCACTCCCCTTCGGCCCCACCTAACCCGGCTTAGTTCCCAGCGCCTAGACCACCCAGCGCCTAGACCACCCGCGTGGCTAGAAGGACCTGGCACAAGTCACAGGAGCTCTTCCGTGTGTACGTGCGCTGCACAGGTGCCCCAAAGGCTGTTTCCGGCCAGGGAGTGTCCGGGCGGGGGTAGGGAAACCTGTGGACGTCCAGGCTTACAGTTCCCTCGCCCTTGGTTAGGAAAGATTTCTTTCTGATATTAACCATCCCTCTAAACAGACGTGGCACTCCCGGGCCACACACCTCCGTTCAGGGCGCAGAATACGGATCTGACTTGGGTTCTAAGGACTTGCTAAGTGCCCGGCACGAGTGCCCACCTCACCCCAGCAGGTTATCGTTCGCACTTTACAGCATTTTCAGTGAAGAAACTGAGCTCCACCCCACTTTGCCTACACTCTCTCCCTTGCCCTTTTGCTTCCAGTACAACACACACACATACATGCACGCGAAAAAAGCCTCGATTTCCAGAAAGCAGTTAACGGATGGGAGAGGGGAGAGCTTGCGGGCAGGACTGAGGCGGTTTCCAGGGACCTACCGGGAAATTCTGCTCTAAGCACCGGTGGAAGGCGCCTCTTTGTTGAGGCCAAGGGTTCAAAACCCGCCAGGCGGGTGGCGCCAGTCTCCGCCAACAGGGGGCCCTGGAGGCCGCTGCCTTCCCCTGGCTGAGGCCAGCGGCCCCAGCGCGATGCCCTGTGGGCAACGGTGTCTTGCGCTGGAAGGGCGCTGCCCCAAGGGGTGCGAATGCGAAGTCCTTCCGGCGCCCGACCCGGGGCGGAAAGCTCTCGGACTGACGGACGGACAGACAGACAGACCGAGACTGCCCCTGACTCCCACCCCTGGGAAACCAACAGTCACTCTGCAAGGCGCGGTGGAGACGCAGACTCACCCGGGTGGCGGGTCCAGCTCGGTCTCTGTCAGGCAGTGGGGAGGTTGGGGGCTCCACGACCCCGGCCCCACCGGGCTGCTTCCTCCGGGGGCGCTGGGATCCCGGGGCTGGGGGTTCCGGGGAATCTCGGTCAAGGGAGGCGGTGACGGACAGGGCGCACCTCCCTCTCGGGGACCTGGATGGGGACGCAGGAAGCGCGGCCTCTGAGCGCCGGCGTGCGGGAGGAAGGGACGGCGAGAGGCAGAGGGCGGTGCCGGTGGGGAGAGGCCTCCAGCCTGGAGAGGCGCCGCCCACCAGTCGACCCTCCCTCCCAGCCCACCGCGCCACCCTGAGGTCCTGGGCGGGCACCCACTCCCTTGTGCCCTTGGGCCGGCTGGGGGAGTGCTGGGGTAGAAGTGGGGAAACGCTGGGCCCAAGTGCTCCCCCTGACCCAGCTACGACCAGTTCCGAGGTGGGGAGAAGGACGGGCTCCAGGGCCTGCTGGATGGGGGGACGGGTATTTGTGGGTTAAGTGGAGCTGGGAGACACCCCACCCCTCACTCCAGTCTGAGCTCCAGCGCTTAGACACAGCACTGCGGACCGTCTGCAGCTCCTTACCTGGCCCCACACTCACCTGGCGGCCAGGTGCGCCGGCTTTTTCCTGGCTCTTCCTGGGGAGATGGCTGCCTCCCTCTCACCCTCGTGGGGCGGGAGTGGGGTTCGGAGAGCTGGGGCCCGCCTGCACCGCCCAAGGTTGTGCCCTGCGAGGTGACTGATGGGCGGAGGTTTGGAAAGCGAGTCAGCTCCTGCCCTCCGCCCGGCTCCCCTCCCCCTCTGGAGCTCTCTGAACGTCCTCCGGGTCGCACACCTGGGCCTCCGCCGGGGTGGAGCCCATTTCGGGTGCCAGTACCAGCAAACAGGCCGGGGAGTCTCCTCTGCTGGAGGCCCATTCCCAACTTTGCAGAGAACTTTCCCAACAAGCGCAGTCCTCCCGCCTACCCCCGCAGCAGGCAGATGCCCCGCCTCTGCTCTGAGCCCCGCGCCGCTGCTAGGGTGCTGGCTCAGGGGAGTGTGAACTCGAGCTCCACAAGGGCGCCTCTTGCCTCCGGCCCCTACCTGGAGGTTTGCTCTGGAACCGTGCTGGCCTGGCATCCAAACTAGGTGGGCTGATCTCAGCCCAAGCACTGAAAATCTAGGTTCTAAAGAAAGGGAGAAAGCAGCCCGCCTCCTCTCACAACCTCTGCCTGTTTGAATTCCAAGAGAGGTCAGGCCAGGGTCCCCTTTTCTGGTGAATGTCCAGTCCTTTGAAGTTCAAACTCTTGGAAAAGCCAATAGGTGGCTGGCTGAGTGTCAGGGAATGGAGCTGAGGGCAGAAGGCGCCTCCTACTGGGAATCTACCCAGTTCAGGACAGAAACGAAGACACCCTGGTGGAACTGCAGTCAGGTTCACTTCCCAACTGCCTAGTTCATGGGAACGCCTAGTTCATGGGAACACATAGTCTCCACGTGTGTGGATGCCCACAGCGTTGTCACTGGTGGTATTTTTTTTCTCCGTAACAGATCAACAGGACCCTGGTGTTCAGGAAAAGGCAAATGTGGGGCTGTCTTGTGATTGGAGGATGGAGAGGCCATTTGGGCCCACTTCCCTTGCCCTATCTCATTTAATTCTTACGATAACCCTTGAGACGGTGGTTGCTTACATCCACTTTACAGAGCAGAAGGCGGAGGCTTGAAGAAGTGAGATCATTTGCCCAAGGTCACACAGCTGGGAGGTATCAGGAGTCAGGACCCAGCTGGCCGGCTCTAGAATAATCCCTTGTCAGTCTGCACATGCTCTCTACCTTGGGACAAGCTCCCTTCAACTCCCAACCCCCCTTCTTGTCTGCCAGTCTGGAAGTCACCTGTGTTCCAGTCTCTGCCCAGCGATGTAATTCTTTACAATTCTGATTCCTGTTCTCCTTAAGGACAGGGATTCCTGGGCCTCTGTTACTTTGTCTGGCTCCCTGCAGGTGCTTAATAAATATTTGTTGAATGAATGAAAGCCTCAAATAATAACACGATTTTAGTGACTGGGGAGAACCCTTCATGCAAGAAGGTGCCTGTGATAACATGCTCCGGGTTGAGATCTGTGCACACACATCCTGAAGTTCAGACAATGAATCTGGGAACCTTCTGGGCTCCAAAGGAGGGATGGGACACAGTCACGTAGCTCTCAGATAAGACTGGAATCTGGTTTGCATGTCACTCTGCAAGACCGGCTTCAGAGAGGCCTGGACTGGGGATGATTCCCTTCAGACAGTTGCTCTGGCCCTGCCTGGAGGCAAAGGGCCTCAGTACTTTTCCACACCAGCCTCCGAGACCAGATTTGCCCTGCTTTGTGGCAAACCCAACGGAGCAGGTCCTGTCTATCTCAGAAAACCATCTTTGGAGCGTTCCTTTTGGGCTGGCTTTCCCTGGCTCATCTGCGGAGAGGCTGGAGAAATCTCAGGCAGAGCTGAGCCACAGGCAAAACTGAGAAGCTGGGAAAGGAGACGAGTTTCTGTCATTCTGCCCTTCAGCGCCTTCTCCCTCTTTGTGGTTAGTTTCTCCGAATCTTCGCAGGTTCTCTACGTCCCACTGACGAACCTGAACTAATTTCACTGCCAATTTATCCCACGAAGTGTCAGCTGACAAGGGCCTGAGATATAGGCTTGAGAAAAGAGCCAAAGAAAGAAATCTCGAACGGTGGAATTTCTATTACCCATCACTATGATAAGCGGTGGGGAAGATGGCAGTTACCATATACTGGGCCTCATGTTCCACCTGCTCTGTGTACATTGTGTTATTTAATCCTCACAATAGCCTTAGGAGGAATATTCTACTATGCCAGTTTTTCAGGTGAGGCTAACTAAAACTCAGAGGAGTTATGTATTTGCATCTTCTAGCAAGTGCTAGAGCCAGGATTTGAACCGCAGTATAAACTGTTGCTCTTAATCATTATGCTGGGAACCCCACGTGGTCAACAGAATAACAGCCGCCCAAAGATGTTCACATCTTATGGCCTGCTGTGGTCTCTCCTCTGTAAATGGGCTCTGTGGGCCTGGCGCCTCCATTCCCACCACCCCAATCATGTGCCGAGGCCCGCGAGGGGTCACCACCGAGGTTTCCACGGGTCCATAGCATGAACACGGCAGCCATCCCCTCCAGCCGCTGGGCTGGGGCCACCTACAACTACGACAAGTGCATTGCCTGGACTCCATTTCCAGGAACAGCTCCTATGGAGGTGCCAGGTACCTCGGGGTAGCCATGCCCCACTACCCTGGCTTCTACAAGGCCAACCCGGGTCCCTGGTGGGCGAGCTTCTTTTCTGGGAAGTCCACTCTCCCGTTCATGGCCACTGTGTTGGAGTCCCCAGAACACGCGGAATCTCCCCAGGCCTCTGGCAGTCTGGTCACCTGTGACCTGGCTCGGGAAGCCACAAGGAAGCAGCCTGGTGGCCAGCCCAGCAAAGCCGATGCCAGCCCCATCCTGAGTGGCCACCGCCAGCCCCCAGACTTCCAGGCACCAGGCCCTTCTGAGTCCCTCACCCCCACCCCTCCTCCTCTACTCCTTTCGTCCCTCCTCACCTCACCCCACAGACTGGGCAGGCTGCAGCACACAGAAGCAGTGGGCTCTTTATACCGAAACAGCAGTACACCAAAAAGAGTCGAGAGAGCCCTGTTCTTTACTGCCCAAGCCACATGGAGCCTTCCTGATGCCCCGTAACCTGTGCCTCACACCAAGTGGAAAAATAAATGACAAGCAGCCAGCATCAAAATAAACAAGCTAACAAAACCAAAGATGCTCACACGCCAATCCCCAGAACCCATAAATATGTTGTTTTCTTACATGGCAAAAGGGACTTTGCAGATAGGATAAGGTTAAGGATTTTGAGATAGGGAGATCATTCTGAATTATTCTGCAGGATCTAATATACTCACTGGGATTCTTGTAAGAGGGAGGCAGGAGGACCAGAGGCAGAGAAAGAGATGTGACCGATGAAGCAGGGGTCAGGGCGATTTGATGGCTGGAGGGAGCCACTAGCCAGGGGGTGTGGGCCGCTTCTAGAAGCTGGAAAGGTCAGGAATAGGTCCTCCCTTAGACCCTCCAGAAGGAGCAGACCTCTGCTGACACCTTAATTTGAGCCTAGTGAGATTGATTCTGGACTTCTGACCTCCAGGACTGTAAGATAATAAATTTGTGTTGTTCTAAGCCATGAAGGTTCTAGCAATTTGTTATAGCAGCAACAAGAAACTAATACATCCTGCAAACGCAGCCATGTAGAAAGATGTTTATTTCTCTTGCCTTTTCAGCTAACTGACCACCATAAAGTTCTTCCCATAAGTGGCACCATGAATTATGGGTTTAGAAAGAAGGCAGGATTTTATCAACTCTGTTTGGGTTTCTGAGTCCTCTGCCGCTTATGAGTTGTGTGACCTTAGGCAGATGTCTCCTCCTCTCTGAGCTTGTTTCCTCATCTGTCAAATAATAATGCTAATGATACCTACCTCAAAGGATCAATATGAGGATCAGGTGATCCAGAATGTGACCAAGTGCCTTGTGAATGGCCCAGTGTGATCTGAATGTGAGTCATTTGGCGCATTAGCCTGTTCTGTTCTGGAAGTCTGGATTCTGTGAGGAAACAGTGCTCTTCTGAGAATTTGCTCTGCCTCAGTAGGCAAATGACTAATTTAAAGTGTTGAACTGTCTCTAGTAAGCAACTAGACACCAATCTGTCACAAAATCTACTTACGGGAATATATCACCATGCAGAACTCACATATATGCTCAGGAACACATGTCAAGGATTTTTCATTGCCGATTATGGTGAAACATTGTAACCAACCCGAATGCCACCGATAGGAGAGATGCTAAATAATGATAGGGTAGGCTCCTGCCGGAATACTATGAAGTCATGAAAAAGGAGGCAGCACTATCTGAGAAGGAATATCCAAGATGTATCACTTCCTGAGAAAGGCACTAGACCAAACATGATGAAGCCACACAATCAGTTTAAAAAAAAAAAAAGATGCAGACACATGTATATTTAATTATGCCTAGAAAGTCTGCGGGAGGGGTCAAACTGTGGTTACCCTTAAAAATGAAGGAGGGGTGTGTGTGCATATGTGTAAATGTGTGTGTGCTGGGGAAGGTTTCTTTTTTTCTGATAAGAATGTGTTAAATTATTAAAAACTAAGAAAAAAAAGAGGCCAGGAGTCCCCTGCATTGTCCACCAGGAGGGCACCCCCCTTTATCTGCCCCAGTGCTGTGGTCTCCTCCCACCTGCTGCTCTTTCCTTTGGTCTGTTCTGAGCAGGTGACCCTTCCTCTTCCCACTTCCTCTTCCCCAGGGCTCATTTCTAAACCCTTGAGTCACCGAGCAACGTGTCTGCTGTGTGAGTCTTGGCAAAGTCAGTAGTAAATCACATACGTACATGTGCTTGTAACCTGGCCTTCACCTGAAACAGTTCACATTAGTCACCGGGAAGGGATATGTCTCAGGCACAGGCACCACCTGTGACATATTGGCCCAACCTCTCTGAAGGCTGAATCAGGCCCGTGTGTCAGAGAAACCGGGCTCACGTAGTAAAGTGACATTGGAGAGTTGGACCATTTGTTTAAGTGAAGCAATTTTCATCCTTTTCCTGAAAATTTTTCATTCAAGAACTATATCTCAGACTTCCGGCCAAAATGGAGGCGTAGGTAGTAGATACACTGTGCCTCCTCATACAACCAAAAGAAGGACAACAAAAAAATTTAAGGACAAAAGCAACCAGAACTGACAGAAAATCAAACTGTATGGAAGTCCAACGACCAAGAAGTTAAAGAAGAAACCTTCATCCAGACCTGTAGGAGGGGGCAGAGACAGGCAGCTGGGCAGAGAGGACTCATGGCAAGGCAGCGG